CATGGGGTAGAAGTTTTCTCTTGCCAGGCACATGTTCACCAAAGGTGCCCTTTTACAGACAAAGTCACGGAGCTTCGGAGTTTCTTTAGCTGCAGGGCTGCTTGGCTTCGGGCCCGGGGAGAAGAGCGGTTTTGTTCCCTTGAATGATATGCTCCGTCCCTCGCCTTAAATGAGTACAAGATGGTAAGAAAATTGGCCAGGAGGTTTGGGGAAACAGAAAAAAAATCATCTGGCCTCCTCAGGGCTGGCACTGGGGGTCCCACTGACTGGGTCCCCAGACCGAGTTGGGGTAACTGTTTAGCAGAAAGATTTAGACAAAAGGGCCACATGCCATACAAAAGGGTCCAGAGGCAGCCCGTGATTTAATGCTCTATGCCGCACAGCACAGAGGCAGGCTGGAGGTGAGAAAGGGACACAGAGGAGGGGCTCCTGTCTACCTGCAGAGGCGCCTGAACACACCCCCATCGGAGACCCTAGAGCGCAGAGAAGAAAGTCAGGAGACGATCCTTGAATCAAGTAACCTGGGTTCAGATCCCAGCTCTACCAGTTACCTAAAACCTAAGCCTCCACTTTCCTATCTGTAAAATGGGAATAATTTCCACCTCCATGAACTGTGAAGGTCAAACGGGATTTGGATGTGAAGAGATACGCAGTACTTGGCTCACGGCAGCTATGAAGGTTTGCTGGGAGGGGAGGAGGGGGGAAAATCACTGAAATAAGGCCTGCATTCTGTTCCCCTTATATCCCCAGGCGTGCACAAGCATGTCATCTTCTTCCGCCACGTTCTGCTCACAGCTGAGCCTGGAGGAACTTTAGGGCTGTAATTAAAGATGGGTCTCAAAACCCATCTCGCCTCTCCCTCCTGCTGGCAGTCTCTGTTGGGGCAGACACGCTGGTCATTAAGACATCAGAGGAGGAATCAAATACCAGCTAGAGACGAAGCTATCCTTTTCCATTTTAATTTAGAAGAACAAGGGTTGCCAAGAGCAAAACGAAAAATTATGCTTTTTCCTGCACAAGAGGATAAGGGGGGGATGCATGCAAGCAATTCCGTGCACCAGCAACACTCTGCCTAGTACTCTCCGCCAGCGCCCCTCCAAACCACACCCGTACAACAGGGGGGCCTAAAACCTCCACCCACGGCATCGCCACCAGCTCTGGGATTTTCTGAGGTCACGATCCTGGGGAGAAGCGTGAAGGAGGCCCTAGATTTTTTCATGACATGAGACTGTAGAGATGTCAGCCTGACCCTTCCAGCGATCTCGTTCTGAGGCAGGAGAGTGCAGTGGCTACAAAAGGGGCTGTCAACATCGGCTGGATATTAGAATTGCAGAAAGAGCTGTTGACGAAAATCTCTGCACCCTGGCTGCACCCAGACCAACGAAATTGGAATCCCTGGACATGGAATCTAGGCATCCGTGCGTGTTAAATCTCTGCAGGAGATTCCGATGTGTAGCCAAGGTTTAGAACCATGAGGCTAAGAGCTGGGGTCTTGGAGCCAGACTGCCTGTGTCCAAACCCTCTTCTAAACTATACAACCTTGAACAAGTCACTTACTGCTTTGGGCCTGTTTCCTCATGCAAAAAATAATAATTTTAGACCACCATGATCAGCATTAAAAGATAGTGTAGAAAATGCACCTTGCGTAATGGCTGGGACACAGTCTAAGCTGGGTGAATGTGAGTTGTGACCGAAACAGTATTTCTGAATAGTAACAACCACGTACAATGGCTAGTGTCCGATGTCACACAGAGGTTAAGGGTACAGGCTCTGGAGTTTCCCTGCCAGGCAAGGCTGGGGTTAGAGTGAGGAGACTTAAGCTCCTAGGGTGCAAGATATAAAGAGGTACTTATTCTCAGGGTCTTGCAAGCGCAAGCCGCCCGTGTCCCAATCCTGGCTCTATGTGGTACTAGTTGCATAGTTGTGGGTTTTGCTGTCGCATCTGCGAAATGAAGCCTCTGCAGGTGTGCAATGAGGATAAGAGTTACAGGAACCTCATTAGGTTGGTGCGAGGCTTAGCCTGAGATAACACACACTAAGAAGTTAGCAGAAAGCCTCACACACACATCATTTTGCACGTGCCTGCTGGAAGTCCATGGGGATCACAGATGCAGGCAGGTGGATGCAGCTACAGGGCTCCCAGCAAATGCTCTGTGATGGTCCATTGAGGGTAGTTCCTGGGCCTTGGGGACACTGACTCCCCTGACCCCCAGGAGGGAGCAAGCTTTCCAAAGGTCACTTTTAACCAAACCCAATCTCCTTGACCCCACGGCACCGAGATGGCAGGGATGGCAGTGGTCCTGGGATATCCCCAGACTCCAGATAATCAGGACTCATTCCCAGCTCCTTGGCTTCAGGAATCGACAGGACTGAAGGAGAGTAACCCTAAAGTTTGATTGTTTGCAAATTTGTCTTTTCTCACACCCTAGATCTGCACTGGCCACATGCGGCTATTTAAAGGCAAATACATTTAAATTAAATAAAATTAAAAGTTCAGCTCCTCGATCACACTGGTCATATGTCAACTTCTCAGTAACCACACGTGGTGAGTGGCAACTGTGTTGGACCACACAGACTGACACCATTTCTACCACTGCGGGAAGTTTTAGTAGGAATCCTTGCTCTAGACCAGGACTCAGCGAATCATGGCTCCTGGGACAAATCCGAGCTGGGGCCTGTTTAGTAATGACCTGTGACCAAAGAATGGCTTTTGCCTCTTTAAATGGTGAAATAAAACAAAGAAGAACAAGCAACAGGGACATATGTGGCCCGCAAAGCCCAAAATATTTGCTCTCTGGTCTTTTACCGAGAAATTTGGGGACCTCTGCCCTAGACCATGTGTACCTTGAGGGTGGGGTTCAGGTGGGATCTACCTGTGTAGCCCCACAGCTTGTAACATGTCCTTTCTGCTTAACTGCTAA